ATTACAAACAGCCGTCAGCAAGGCGTTTAGATCATGTGCGAACTTCTCCCTGCATGGCTTAGGGATATGGTCGTACACCGGTACACATTTCAGCACGGCCGTCAGCTTGTCAAAAACACCAGAGTAATCCAGGTCGAGAGGATCACCGGAGACCGATGCGGCCGTCGACCGTGTGGGTAACCCGGGCTTGGGGTCGGGTGCGGCACCGAGAGGCGAAGCAGCCCTCGCGCCCGATGGATCAACTTTTTTCCGGGACCCCGAGCATTCCTGTCCTTTCACTTTACCTCCTTGCCGACATAACTTTCCGTCTGGAGTGCTTCTATAGTGGTTAAAGCAGACGGGGCACTGTTGTAACTTTGGAGCCATATGTGATTAAAAACAACCAAGAAACGAAGGAAAGGAAACAAACCAAGTGGGGTGGATGGATGAATGAATGTATGAACCAGCGAATGACCAAATGAATGGGCCGGCGAACAAACGAATGAATGAGTGAATGATGGGGGAATGAATGAGCTAATTACTGAACGGACGAGTGAGGGAAAAAAAGAATGAGTGAGTGAATAAATGAATGAATGAATGAATGAATAAACAACCGAACGAATGGATGAATGAACGAATACACGAATGAGTGACGGAATGAATGAACGAGCGAACGGATGAATGACTGAATTATTTTTAAATATTTAACCAGTGGAAAATATATATAACTTTTTCAACTTTTATTTATTTTTTTTTCTTTTTTTTTTTTTTATTGATGAATGAATGAGTGAGTGAACAAATGAGTGAATACAAAAACCTAGGTAACCTGGGAGGAGACAACTATTGCAGCAAACTTATAGTTTTTTTTTACACAGATTTTAAAAATTGGTTTAGGAAATTTCTTTTTTTTAAATAAATTTTAATTTTAAATTTTAATTTCAAAAGTAAATTAAAAATAAATGTCGATAGAAGGTAAATAAGTTAAAATGTAGTGAACTTTCCGATAATAATAAAAACAGCTCACACCTGGCGCAGGCCGGTGACCTGTAGCAGCTATGAGCTGTGAATAAATTATAATATTGATATAAAAACAAAAAACGAGAAAATTGGCCGAGGCAGGGCAGAAAAACGATAAAAAATGACGGAAAAACAAACCCGGGACAAAATTACAGCCGATGACCCCAAAAATCATATGTAAAAACGATTTAAAATCTATGAATTTAACAAAAATAACCAGGAAATTAAAACAATCCAGCCGGCTTTGAATGTGAACAAACGATGTATGTATATATGTTTGTTTGTTTGTTTGTATGTATGAATGTATGTATGTATGAATGTTAAAACCAAAACATGATGAATGACATTAAACAGTCAAACATCAAGTAACAAGTGAATTAACACGTTGATTTGTCGTTAACTGCACATGTAGGCATTCAATTGGATACTTTCCAACACAACACAGACACGCAGGAATCGCTGCAACCAACACGAAATGTGGTGGTTAATTGCGAAGAACAGTTTCCTGCTGTCACCTGATTTGAAGCTGATTAATTTGCATATTGCCTTAAAAAATTTAAGGGTGTTGGGGTTCATCGGGCCAAAAACCTTGATAAATATTTGCAAAAATTTCATATTTTTTCATTTGTGTGTATGTATGTGTTTTGTTTTTTTGTGTGTGTATGTTTATTCGGTACTACATATCAATTCGTTGTTGACTCTATTGTGACTTAGAAAGCATGTCACAGATTGATAGGATACGCTATGATTAATCCTTCTAAATGTAAAGATAACTTTTTTTTATTTTGACGTATTTGATGTTTCTCATAAATTTTATTCTTTCTTGAGCGTTCTTTATTCCCGATGACCGTGAAAACAAAATTACGAGGTAACCTGATTGCGAGAAATCTATGCATTTTTACCCACACACCCACACACGCACACAAACATACACATATACACACACAAACAAACACGTACACACACACACACACATGTATGTTCTACTGGTGCATATTGTGTGTTAGGTACGTACCTACTACTTACCTACCCGTTCTACTGACATACTCAAAAGAAAAAAAATGTGTACACCCTGAAATTTTGAAACTTTAGATTAATTACGTAGCGTACTTAAGTGACGTTCTTAAAATTGTTGTCATACAATAATGTATAATAATAATAATAGTAATAATAATAATAATATTGCTAATAAATAAAAAATAATTCTAATAATTTGACATTCATGGCGGAGATTGGAGTAGAAATCAATGACATGCAAACGTTTTTACTAGCCGTTTTGCTGGGGCTGAATTATTAATATGCAAACTTTCTGATGAATGGATGGATGGATGAACGAACGAACGAACAAACGAATAAATGAATGAATAAATAAACAAATAAATAAAAAAGTATAGCAGTGAATGAGTAATTTAGTTGATAAATTGAAAAAAAATTAGCAAAAATTAACGAAAAATTAAATCAGCGAAGGATATTAATTGAATAAACAAACGATGAATGAATGAATTAGCAAATAAATGAGTGAGATAGTGAGTGAATGAATGAGTGAATGAATGAATTGATTAATGAATGTATGAATGATTGAACGAATGAATGATTGAACGAATGAACAAATGCATGAATGAATATATGTATGACTGACATAATGAACTGGCGTATATACGAAAATATTAATGGATGAAAAATATTTACGACCAACTCTTCTATTATTTTCGTGACCTACCTCTGTAATAATTTCTTGCCGAAACGACTGACGATACATTATTTCAAATACTTTATGTAAAAAATACCGCCACAAATACATAATTACCAGCTAATAAAAAACACACACATATACAAAGTTAACAAAATGATAAACATACAAACTAACATAGAAAAGAGTAGGTAAGGATGTCACAATAATACTACACAATACACGCAGTAGTAATACGCATACATAAAATTACGCATACATCAAAATATGCATACATACAAACACTCGTACGTACATAAAAATAGAAAAACCCCATGCGTACAAATACGAACCCAACACACATTCTTACAAACAAACTTGTAAACACTATTGTACAAAGAGAATATTCACGTTTGTTAATAATAATAATTCGATGCACGAGACGAAAACGGTGGTGAAGGCTTTTGAAACATCATTCACACGAGTCAGTGAATTTGCAATATGCTCTGGGACCGAACAAACTATTGTAAGCGTTTACTGAAAGTAACTCATTTTGATGAGCAAATGAAAAATGAAGCATACACTTGTACAGTACAAAATTTGTACCGTACATTTGTATACTTCTGTGTGAAAAGAATAGAACTACATGATGAATATAATGCAATGAGCTCATAGATACCTAGGCAGGTTAGAACAAACATTGATACATATATACACGTTCATGTATCAACAAATATTTTTTGACATTTTCTAGCATTAAATACTTTGAATGAACTAACTTTTTGTTAAAACCGCTGTAATAATGAAGCTAGTTTTTGGTAACAAAAAAGATATTTTAGGAAATGCGAGAATATGTTATAAGATGTATAATAGTAATGTATATAGTTAATATATATAGTAATGTATATAGTTGTGTAATATTTTAGATGCAAATTGTGCTTGTAAGGCAATTACAATTTCTATTTAGTCTTAGTTATTTTTGATGCAACCAAGCGCCTTTAGAAATTGTAGAAAAATACGCTATAAAATTTAATTTTTACAGACATACGCAGGAAAAACAAGAAAGAAAGGAGAGCATAAACATGCAACTCACACGTGAAACATTTCCATTCTCCCTCGTTTTATTTGACGTGGCAGGACGAAACCACGTACTTCCATTCTACTTACACGTATCTCAAACATACGCGAAGGAACTGAAAAAATAGCAATGTAAAAAATGGCACTCACAGGTACGTACTGAAATTAATTTATCTTGCCGAATGAAATTGTTCTTTTTTTTGTAGGTAGGTGGTTAGGTCGGTAGGCACATTCTTAAAAATTTGTATTTGCCGGTAAATAGCGACAATGGAATACCATAAAAATGGATGTTTATCATTAAATCATCTTCCAGTGTACCCTGGCTACTGCGCTTCTCTGTCACTAATCTTAGTGCTTATTTATTGATTTCAATTATTTCCTATCTTATGAATATGATGTTAGCTTTTTTCTCGGTCACGAATGATTATGTTTTCCACGATGAGTGTTTTTGTGTGTGTATGTGTCTGTTTGTGTGTGTGTGCGTTTGTGTGGTGCGTGTTTGTGAGTTTAGAGAGGACGTTTAATGAATTTCAATAACATGTAAAACTACATAGTTTATGTATTGTTTATATATTGATAAATCGATCCATATAAAACTATTTCTTTTTTTTTATGTATTTGTAAATAGATCTAAATAGAATTATTTCTTTCGTCACAATCCAACTTTTCCTACCCTGAACCATTCAAAACTTTCTACACAAACAGATGATCAATACTCTCTTTAGATGTAAATTATTTTGAAAGCAGAACAAAAAAATCTCACTTTTGCGAGAATTAAATTGTATCTTGTTAGAAAGCATAAGGTATGTAAGATATTTGATATAAAGGAACAAGTAATTATTAATTTATATAAATTATTTATTATAATCAGAGCAATGTTGAAACGCTCTGTTAACTAAAGAAAATATAACACTATTTTTATATTGTTCTGAGGTCTCGCTTTTACCATTAAGACAAAATCCCAAATTGGTGTCTTTTACATAAACTTGTGTTTGAAAACCAATGTCATTTCTGGTTAGCAGGACATCCAAAAATAGTAGCTATAAAAATAGTGTTATATTTTCTTTAGTTAACAGAGCGTTTCAACATTGCTCTGATTATACACTCATAAACTCAGAATTATTAGGAATAAAAAAACTTCTCGTGAACAATAATTACTCTTTGAAACAAATTGATCAAGTCATAAATAGATTAACCAAAAAATATCATGAAAATGCACAAAATATACATCAAAATAACGCAATTACCAACAACGTTCCAAACAACAATGAACAGGAAGATAATGGCAACCCCACCACCACGTCTAATAACTTTGATAATAACAGCATCACAAGCCTCACCACAAACATTAATAACAACAACAATAACAACAACAGCAACAACAACAGCCGTATCATTAGAAACCAAATCAACAACAAAATGAATGACAAAAATAAGATAATATTTTACTACAAAAATACCTTTTCAATGGCGTATAAAGAAGATGAAAAAATTTTAAAAGGAATAATACGCAGAAACGTAGTAGCGTCAAATCCAATTAATAAAGTTATTCTTCGAATTTACTATCAAAATTTAAAAACATCCCAACTAATCATGAAAAATAATTGCCTGCCTGCAACTACTCAACTACAACAAAGTCATCTAATATATGAATATAAATGCTCCGTCGGTGAATGTTCGCACCGCAACAATGCTTCATATATTGGAATGACAACTACCACATTGTCAAGACGTTTGACCATGCATCTACAAGATGGAGCAATTAAACAACATTATCAACAACAGCATAACATCACTTTAACACGACAAATGTTAAATAACACGCAAATAGTTTATTGCAATAACAACATCACAAACCTGAAAATAGCTGAATCAATTTTCATACAAAACAAAAATCCCTCCATGAACATTCAAGTACAGTCTAACAACATTCTACCTTCAAATAGACTACTAAATAAAAACAACAATCATTATAATTATAACAACAACAATTACGACAACAGCAATAATTATAACAATGTTATCACCAACAATATTATTGATGTAAACAACAATCATACCAATAGTGACAAATTCAACAACAACATCAACAACACCAACAACAACATCAACAACAACATCAACAATAACAACAACAACAACAGTGCCAACACTGTAGATACCAATGCTACAACCCACAGCGCAAATATCAGTTGCAATTGGAACATCATCAATAGTGACAACCCTAACAACAACATCAACAACACCAACAACAACATCAACAACAACAACAACAGCATGAACAATAACAACAACAACAGTGGGCACCATAATTTGGAATATGTTGGTGTGACGACGACGAAGCTATTGAAAAGACTCAAGATGCACGTACAAACTGGCGCTATAAAGAATCACATGGAAGAGAAACACAAACCAAAATCCTAAGCAAATTTTGGACCACAATGTTGAAATCTTACATTGCAATAACAACCATTATAATTTACGACTAGCCGAATCAATACAGATAGAAGAAAGACATCCGATAATAAATAATCAACAACGGGCAATTGGAATCCTTCCCACTAATAAATTTAGAAACAGAGAAATCATCGATAATGATGACATGTAAAAGTGTCATATTGCACGAAGTTGAAGATCGTAATCACGGATTAAATGGCCGCCAAGTTGTCGCATTACACTTACAAAGGATTAACATTGCAAAGACACAGTATATATACACTGTTTATTTTGAATTTTAATAAACTAAACATTCTCCAAAAAACTTTAGTGAGAAAATCGAAAAAACGAACGACAAACATATTAACGCCAAACATTCGGTAGAATTTATAGAATTTTGTAAATATATATAAATATATATATATATAATATAATAACATATAAATATATATAAATATATAAATATATTTATATATATATCATATATAAGGCTTACTTGGATGTATGTATGTATGTTCGTTGTGCTGTAGGATGCATTGCCAATAAAATCTGCTTCTTCGTCTAATTGTTACTTGAACATTTTATGAAATAAATGTTGGTTAACTAACGTATTGAATGGTATTTATGTACAACTGTTTAGTGTTTTTATATTATTTATTTGGTTATTTGACTGTTATTTTTAAGTTAATAAATAAAAAAAAATAAAAATTGTATTTATTTTTATAAGTTGATCGATAAAATTTGTGAAAAATGTACATATTATAATGTAAAAAACTGTTTTGAGTTTGTTTGTTCACATTTTTTCAAAAAAAGACATACATTTAAATACAGAACGATTCGACAATATTTTCATATTTACGCAAAGAAATCGGCCCATAAAATAACATATAATAATGGCACTT